CTTTAAGCTGCATAAAAAATCCACCGGAATGTCGTTGTTCCTGTATTAGTTGAAGGAAAAAAATATTTCAAGCTTGATGAACACAAACGAATTTCTTATAGTAGCATAGTGATCTATGAAAATCTGATCTCTTTTAATCAGCTGGAAATGTAACTCCAAAGCAGTGATGTAGAAAGCTGATTTCCGCTTGACTTTAGCGGTGATTTGGTTCACATGGGGATAATTATGACCTTCGTTTTGATCATGCGACTATTGCGTGGTTTTCTGCACTCGACATTCAGTTGGCGTGTTTCTTGGTTGAAATAAGCAGGGTAGATGGTAAATCCAAGGATTTTGGCAAAACAAAAGCATCACAAGAATGCCGATTATGGTCTGTATTCACATTTGCAGTTCTATGGTTAGCAACTTGTAAGTCACAACTAATCTCACCACCTTCTGTCAAACCCTCCATAGAAAAACACAATAGCCGTTTGCCTGCGTTTCGCCACTTGGTAATGTAAATTTAGACGACAGCAGGAAATGGGTATTTTGTATCTCCCTTGTTTTCCAAGTACTTGAATTGCCTGAAAAGTTTGATCATTTGAGTTACAAACATCCAAGTACAAAACTGTCGCTAAATACAATTCTGAAAAAGGTTATGCAACAAAAATAACTTCGCTATCGGCAAATAAGCCGGCAGTCTATCAGGCTCCATTACGCTCTACTGTTTCTCAGAAAGTACCAGCTTGCAATAAATTTACTTGAATTGCACCAACCTTTTTTCTAACTTGATGGTGGTTCTCCTGCACAGAGCTGACCACGTTCAATATGGATGTAACTAGAACGGTTGCATGGATAAATTATCTTTTCATTAGGGAAATTCAAAGTAAATACACTAGCATCGAACGTGATCAGATGTGGACCTAAGAGTATAATACAAGCAGCACAAACTGTCACTAACTTGGTGAATCAATAAAAGCTTCTACATTTGGTGCTTTTCTCTCTCTTCGCAATACTTCCGAAATACCTTCATAGTAGCCATAACCCTGCTGTTGCGTGAACGATCTTTCTAATCCACTCTTCGCAACCCCTATGAACACGCGTGATCCTGCGCCAAAACCAGGGTTGCCGCCACACGACCCGCGTGAATCGGTGCGTGTTCTTGTGATGTGTCGTAGCACCAACTTATGCTTTATTGATCCTGTTATTGAATTGCGTCTGCCACTGCCACATTACCCCTAATGTAGATTAGGCGAACGGCCATTCCACCGTATTCAGTGCATTATGTGGCCTAACCTCGGGTATTCTGAGGGTCACGTTAGCCAACAGCAAAACGTGATCATCTGGTACACATAAGCTGCAGTGACTGTTACGGTATAACTGCAATTGTAGATTCGCGTGTCATTAACCGTTTCCGTAAATCACTGTGAATCGCCGGATGCATTGCTATCGAACGGTCCAACGGACCCGGTGCAAGCGTCAAGTGGTTGGAACACATACGCATAAACAGAGGAAAGATAAGGATATGCATCATATCTTCTGGCGGATCTCCTGATGTATAAACATACACGGGATAGTTATTTTTGACGATCCGATACGAAACGTGGGCATTATCGCCACAAGACAAACTCACTGAAGTAGATGCGACGATGGTAGGGTGACAAAGTACTTCGGACTAAGACCACTTCGGGTTCAAGCAAGCTTAACGCACACAAACAGGTTTACAAATATAATGCCATGGCAATTAAGGCCAAAGCGCCACACCCAGGGAAATACCAATCTAACTAAAGTACAGAGAACACTATAGTCGGAACGCAGGATAGACAGACAGATGTAACAAAAATGACTTTTGCTTTAGACTGATGCTTCGTTTGCGTAAAATCAGTTCGTAAAATGGGAAGTGAATTGCGCCTAAGCTTGATCTCGTTCAAATGCCGCCTCTGTTTATCACCAAAGTTGTTTGTGAAACGAGATTGATCCGTAAGTTCTAACTCTGGTGCACAAAAAGCCAGTTATCCTATTAGTACAAATCGTAGAATTTATTGATGGTCCCAGGTGTGGATAACTGAAAAGTAGCAGCACTTCTTAGGCAAACAATTTTTTTCTCTCCTACTTCTTTTTACGTTTTTCAATGGGTCGGGTAACTCAGCAATGTGATGACTCTTAAAAGTGAGCCGCCTTTTTACGGAAAACCCCGAAGTACTTTATGTGGAAAAGGAGAAGAGCAATGGAGTTTCCGTAAAACGTTAGCATATCGTTAGCGGGCATCAAGTCGTACCTGTTGCTTGGTGTGTTCACTCTTGTGAGCGTCGGATTATTGCCAAGGGCATGCCTTCTCAAACGTTCACAAGGCGGATGCATAGTACACTGAATTTGATTTTTAAGGGAGTTCACTTACTGCAGACCAGGCGTCATATGTAATTTGATTGCTGTATTTGTTTTCGCCCTCACCATTTGAGCAATGCATGAATAGTCTCGTGATGGCACATGTGAACATTGTGCAATTTTCTACAAACAAAGTGTACCGCCACTTGGGAAATGCGGTTGCAATTTCTAGGCCAATTCCTATTATATCAAGTTGACGGACCGAGTTCCAAGCACCGATGTCACTCACGAAATTGAGATCAATAGACCCAGCAGGTCCTATTGATAAATGAAGTTTCCTGAAATGCACACTGATAGCTCTCGATAAAGATGGAACAGATGTGCACTGCTTCTTGGCTTTTCAGCATAGATTGGCTAGAACTGCATGCCGAAATCCTCATTACAATCCCAAATTTCCTTCCAATACCAGCAAAAGTTTCATATACTCTGCACGTGAATCTGAGTAACATTCATATTAACAAGCACTGACTTTGTGAAGCAATAGCAGAGGAATAGAATAGGTTTGTTTCATGGACGATATTATCCTTATTCAACAGGACGAAAAAATCAGTGACCATGACTGACTGTATACCGTTAGGTTATTCACTAACACTCGAACGCTACTCAAATAAGTGGGGTACCATACCTTGTTTGTAGATTTTCACTACCATCATAAAATTTGATGAAAATGACAGACAGCGAGATTTTCACCATCTATTGCCGGTATTTAGTTTTGCTAACAACCATAGGAGCAACCGCCGTCGCTTTCAGTGACCCGCACGTGCCACCACATGTTACAAGTCTGTTCTTGTGTGTTACGTATGCGTGAGTATAACTTCCTCGGTCACACACTTCGTGGATTCTTATTCGGAGAACAGCGGACGATGCTGGTATTCACAAAGTGGAATTGCAAGTCCAGTGGCCGAGGCCATGTAGAATGTCTGTGCAGAAGATTGATTAAAAAATTACGTTGACAACTGTCTTGTCTGATCTAATTAAATAGGGCTTCGTTCCAAGCTCTCCATATGCGTTGTCTGCTCTTGAAGATGCATCTTCACACCATCCCAAGCAAAAATGCGTAAGTAAGAACCCGATAAGCCTCACGAAAGGCAAGGTCTATAGTGGACTGTCAATGAGTTTTCGGCAACCTTTTAAACAGGGTGCTAAGTCAAGAAAATATATGGCGAGATCTGGAATGTCATTTCATCTCAAACATGAAGTGGTCTTTACACGATACGTTCGGCCGAATAATATCTTGAACACGGAATCATATGTAAAGCTTGATTTGCTCGCACTTGTTTAAATGAACCGAGTCCCATGTCGTTACTTGGCCTCCCACCATGGAATGACTCAATCCTGTTAGCTGTACCCTGGACCCGAAACTCTAAAATATTCCCACTACTTTTCCTCCACTTGAAGAAGCTAAATTGTCCCGCTACGAACAAGGAAATAATTTCCCACAAATAGCAAACACCTCATGCTTATTCTCTTCTTTATGACCGGTCTGCTTTTCGTAGTTGGCCTGCATGCAAGCAACCGTTTACCTCAATCCATTAATAAGAACTGATTTCATAAAACTATTGTTCATCATCTTTTGCAAGAAAGTGCGCAAAGTATTTTGAACATGTCGGTCAAAATTGAAGGGACATAAATACCACAAAACTAGACATCCTTCCGCGAACTTAGCTATCAAATCGTAGTAGTTGAAGCTTCCCAATAGTTGAAGTTGCGGATCCAAGAAACAGTCGCCCGATGGCCTGAATTGCAGTGTGTGTCATACTGGGATGACACGCTGCTATCATACCAGCAGCTCACCGAAAACACCATAGCAAAACAACTCCAACAAAAAATCGTATCATTTTCCCGTCTTTCTCAGCTGCGTTGTATTTTTAACACAATTTCGTTATGTTAGGAGGCTTATTTAAATTCATCCTGTGCTAGAAGCCACCCGAATCGATTGCATTGTTAGGAACAATTGAACAGGCAAAAAATGGGACTGATTAGATTAACCTTTCGACTGTTTGACACGTCATTCCTGTTTACGGCTGGAATTTATCATATTAGATTATTCTACGTAGACTATAGTAGTCAGCGTCAGTTCGGCAAGTGAAACTACATGCATAGGTCAATCGTCCTTCCACAATACTTGATTTCTTACCGGATTTGTAAGTTACTGCCAAGACGAATGTAATTACCAGGCGCTTGTGATTTCTCACGTAAACCTTTGTTTCGTTACAGATCGAATCACAGTCCATTCAGCAGCTCTAGGGTAGCCCGTAGTGCTGACCAAAAATGCCCAATATAACTTGATATATCGTCTGCTATCGAGATAAAACGCAGTGCAGCATAAAGTAAATTTTAGTAAAGTAAACCGAAATTGTACAAATTGAATTTTTCATTCGGAAAAGATATTGCTCAATCAAAATCAGTCAGGTGAAGATGAGCAGTAGCACAAAGGTTCCAGCTCACAAACTTGGCACGTCCTCACAAGATCAGAGTACGGTGCATGAATTGCCGCGCCCTATTTTTTAGAAATGGTTTTCGAAAGAAAGACTAGCTTTTCGATTTGTTTGTGTTATCCAACACAAATGCAGACAGGCACTTGAAACAATGGGCACAAATAGACTTTGCTGCCCATAAAAATTTTCAGCAGTCTCCTAATACTGGGAAGGGGAACCATGTAACCTAGCACCGGATTGTTCCTTGGGGTTTACTTGAAAGTTGTTTGGAATCCAGTTTCCACGGCTGAAATATCTTGTTGGCACAACTGGTGTGTGTGATATAGTCACATCTATCCCACTGTCGACGCCGATTCCAGTATCTGGCGAAGAGTTAGATAACTCGATGTGCTGTGAAGCTCCTAAGAACTGAAGTGAACGTGAGCCAGAGTCATTAATGCACACCGTTTCGTCGAATTCCCGTGGCATTTGACGTCGACTAAGCTCCATAGGAATAGGTCGAAAACTGTGCCAGCTAGAGTATTCGCTGAAAAACACCGATTTTGTTGGGGTTACGGGACCTTTTGAGGAAGACTTATGATTGTGTGACCGATTTGCATCCTGAGGGGGAAGAATAATGTCTTTCCGAGAACACATATCTGTGCAAAACCGTTCACAGAATTCGACTGAATTGCTGAGAGCTGTTGGTTGTTTACCGTAATTACTGCATGCCACTGAATCGAGTGTTGTGTTCTGTTGAGAAGAGTGGATATTCCGAGTTCTCCGAGAGTTTAACTCTGCAGATGGTAAGTGATATCCCAGTGCATTGCATCCTTGTCTCTGCTCACTCAGGCCACTGTCATACTCCTTTGATTGTCGTGAACCGATCAGCTGAACAGAGTTTACCAAAGGAGCAACTTTTGCATCATTAAAGTTCCCCAGACTTTGTCGTTGCGCCGATGTCGAGGAACAGAATAGAGTAGAATCCGTGGGAAAACGCCGGATAATATTCGATGTTTCGTTCATTGAGTGCACCATTTTTAACTGTGATTGTGCATTTGAAAATGATGCGTCTGGGGCTAAGGGGTGAAAGTCTTCTGGAATTTTACAAGAACTAGGGTTGCAGATAGATTGTTGACTCCCAGTTTGTCTACTAGATGACAACAGATCAGCTGATCGGAACACAATCGGTGGGATTCCTCGGGTTGGAGATGCTGGGACCATTCTGACAACCTGGGGTTGCATTCCATCAGCAGTAGCGAAGGTTGTCTGGGCACGTGTTTGTGATGATGTTTCTGCCCTTATACACTGGTTCTGTGATCCCTCAGCCTTAATGGTAGCTGTGACGCGTGATTCTGGTTTTCCATTAGAAACTGACATGTTCAAAACCTTCTTGTTTGTGTATAACTTTGAACTTGCATGAGGAAATTTTCCTCCAGCTGATTGTACCAAATTATGTTGCACCGGTACATAACACCGAGTAACGGGACGTGGCACTGACATGAACACTCCGCTTTCTTTATTCGCCAATGGGTCGCAGATTGGTTTTGGCTCCGTCTCAAATCGACCGGCGTTATCCCCATTCATATCTGCGCAATATCTTTGTCGATTCCTGCTAGACGACGCTTCATGAGTTATCATATGTGTACTTCTCAGGCCACTCTCGTCTTTGCTATTAGGTACTAATAACATTGGTTTTTTCCAGATTTGCGGGACTGATGCATAAATTTGTTCCACTTCAGTGCCATTATTAATAGATTGACGTCCAGATTTTGGAGATCGCTTTTGCACGCGACCATAATGCATGCGACCACTGACAGACGGATAAGCTTGCGGCGATATTGGGGCAGATGTTTGTGGTATACGTTCCGCTTGCAGTGGTGATGTTGCATGGTGATGGGCCAAAGAGGTCATCGACCTAGACTGCGTCGGGAATCGACCATTTCGAACATAGTAGTAAATATCCTCAATTTCGTCACATAAGGCATTCATTTGATGTTCTTCACTAGCTAGCAACGAGGAAGACAAACTTGAACGTGTCTGACCAATCCCAGATCCCAGCAAGCTCACAGAGGATGGATACTGTCCACTAAAAGCAAGAGATGAGCTAGATAGGTTTTTGGTCAAACATGATTCACTCTGAAGTTCAGAGCTATACACTGAAGTGTTTGTAAATTCTGTTGAGTCATCAGTTGCCAGAGCAGCAGTTGCCGATAGACTTGCAATGGTGGATTGCATATCAGCATATCTGGAATAGCGACTAAGTGGTCCGAGCGTGCGAGTTAGTGGTACATGAGAAGGGCCAGTGTTTGACGACTGGGTTATGTCTTCTAGATGCTTCAGCAGGTAACTCAGACCTTGGGCGGGATGACATGCGGCTAAAAAGTAGGCCACCCTAGAGGCGTGTGTTTCCAATTCCCGTTCGTGCTGAGCAACTGTGGATGATTCTGCAACAAAAAAATTGTGCTGACAGAGCATATCCGGCGTCACAACAAAGAAGCGGCTTGCATTGTTAGCCTTACCGGTTTTGGCACACGGGTAGTCAGTTGACCGGAAGCTAACAGATGGAGCTGGATTTTGGCACTCGAAAATGGGTTCTAGAAATATCAGGTCACCATGATAACAAGATGTAATTTGCAGTAGGGGATGCTTGACGCTTCGATCAGAGTCAAGCGAAAAATTAATCCCACGCTCTCCATTGGACCACTCGTTAGGACGCAGTGCGGAAACAGGCCGAAGAAGAAGGGGCAATCGATAATCGGTGAGTAGTGAAATAAGACTGAATACGCCCGAGTCGCACTGCTTCTTTCCTGTACAGTCACCTGCTCTCACTGTTTTTTTCACAGCCACAGGTGTGCAGGAAAGAGATTTTGAATCCAGTGGTATGTATACCAATCTGGGGCCATCAGTAAACCAGTGTAGAGCATCTTCTGCGGGTAAATCCACTGCAACAGAAGCTAGATCGGCTAGTGCCTTATCTCCCACAATTGCGCACTGAAGCATGGAAATAGTTTTTGTTCGTGGACGCCCCATGAATGATGCGGGGGAGTGAAAACTATTGTTGCTCGCCTCCGAATACACGGGCGTCTGATGAACCAGACGGGTTAGACGACAGCCCAGCAAGTGAAGCACAGTTCCTGCCCTTAGGCTTACCACATTATCAGCGTTGATATTTAATACTAGCTGATCTTGTTTGACTGCATCTGAGGAGTGCTGAATAAAGGCTTGTTTGGGCGCGGCAAACATGCATTGTGTGGGTTTGCGGATGAGGAAATATTTTGGTCTTGCACGCCACAACGCTTTACCGGTTGACCATACAGGGACATCCTGAGAGAGACCATTGCTCACATCAGTGGGTCCACTCCTCGTTTTATGGATTATTTCAAACCAAGATGGACAAACAGTGGTGAGTATAACAGGGGCGGGGATAATACCAGATCCCTCAGATGAGTGGGACAACGTACCAGGTAGTGGATATATCACAGATCCTGTTCCAGTACGATTTTGATGCGACCATGGGTTGTTGATCAAACGATGACTTTTGGAAACTTGGTTCACAGTTGATTTGGGTAAAATCCAATTGCCCTGAACCATTGTTACATTGGGTACTATTTTTAAGGCTAAAGCATATTCATTTTTTAGTACACACCGGCATCCCAGTTTACGACATTCAATACGAACTAAACGAGATGGTTGATCAAGTGGGAAACTGAAAGGATTCATGCAACTTTCTTGTTGAATTAAGTCCTGAATAGTGAAACGTATGAATCCAGAATTCATTGGGGCAGAAGATCCTGGCGACCCAACAGACGGGGACTGGCGGCAGAGCCATTGGAACGATTGGACCTCTGAGCACATGTTTTTCTTAGTACACGTCGCAGGATCTCCTGTAGGGCTGTACCTTAGAGATGTATCGAGTTCAATCATAGATCGATGTTGCAATAGCTCTGTGGGGTGTACACATTGTTTTCGCGAAGTTCGCCTGGACAGAGATGTATCAGGGATGCAACGGACATAGAATTGTTCTGGAGTTCTCTGAGGGCTAGGACCACGAGTCGGCATATTATCATAACAATTTAGTTGGATAGCGCTTTGTGTGATAGGCCCGTTTTTTGCAGACGATGAATTTGTCTCTTTCTTATTCATGAAGTCGTAGTCACAATGATTCCATAAATCTATCCGACTTTGTTGTTTTGGTGCACAGGACAAATGTCGGTGATCGACGTGAGGTTTAGCATTCCACATTACATGTTGGAGTGGAGCCGATGCTGTGACAAAAGCCATTCTTACACTTGGTTACACCTGTATAATCCCCAAACACCAATTCCGAAAGCACAATCACATGTTGAGTGAATGATAGTTTCAGAAAAACAAGCGATCGCGGCTTACCAGTGTCTATCCAAGGCCACTGAATCAATGCACGTCTAATCTCACTGCCTATTGGTCGGTCAGGTAGGGAAGACCACGATGCATGAGCTTTCGACCAATAAGCTTGGGGTAAAACGCACCAACGCTTCTGCACATGTCCAAAGGTGCGAGGATGGTACATTCACAACTGTTGTGCAAAACCCAAAGCCGACTTCAGCAATGGGTCAATCACAGCGAGAGAATGATTTCGAAAGTTGTCTCCGTTGTGATGATGTGATGTCGACATTTGTGTGTATACTGAAACTGTCGGATGAGTTGCCGCATGTAGAGAACTGCGGTTTGCGACGAATAAAATGGCTGACAGGTCCGAGATGTGTGACGGACTTCTTTGTTCAAATCTCAGTAATTGAAAGACCAAAATCTGTTAGCGCTTAACCAGCCTAGGATTAATTCAATCTAACGAAATAAATTGAATATCACTTTAGCAGAGTTTGCATGACTTTCCAGCGCCTGAGTTGACATCATTACAAGGCAAAAAACTAATGCTTGGGTCACAAGTTTCTGAAAACTAAGGCGTTTTTTCAAGTTACACATAGTTAACTGGTCATCCCATGAGTTGCCTGGTGGATAGATCTACATCGTGACCATCATGTTTCAATCTCCCATTGATCGAGCTGTTTTATCGATAAGCAGTAATGAAAACCGAATTATGGAATTTCTTACCGTAATTTCCTGTCACAGAAAACAAACGAGCAGTTTCCGTGCTTCAAAGTTTCTGACAGAGGTACACGAAAATTCACGCATATCTAATGCTCTGTGCGGTGGTTATATATAGTTATCTACTGATATGATTCGGCTAATAACATATCAACAGGTCTCAAATCAGTTGGCATAACTTAGCCTGAAGTGCTTTTCGCGACAGGAAAGCTTGTCATGATAATCAGCTCGAGAGAAACGTCCTCCCGTAAATTACCTCTAATATACCAATGAATCATTAGTTTATTATTCGATTTGATATCTTTTCTCTACGCTAATTCCTATTTTTGTACTAAACTGTCCCATTTGAATGTCACCCACAGTAGTCCTGAGCTGTTACACTCAGCGTTTCCGTTGGACCAATATATTTAGTGTGGTTCAGTGGTAGGCAGCTTATAGTTAGTAAATTTTTAGTTCAACACAATTAGCAGTTCTTTGTTAACTGAAAATAACCAGCCTGTCCGCGTGTTTGAACAAAGAAATGTTTTTGTCCTTCTTCTCTCTAGGCTGAGCGGATTGACACCAAAGGTTTGTTCATTAAATGGCACTGCATTTTCAGGGGCTGGCGGCTGGCTTGCATTTTCCAGACAAAGGCGAACTGAATGGGAAAACGGTGTAGAGAATGCTTTAATATATTCAAACGTGATGCCAATTCAAAATCTTTTCAGTAGAAGGTACTAGTGGCTAGAGTTATAAAACAAGCCTCCCCCATGAACCAAATATTGTCGTTTTCTATTTATCTATGACACGGACTTTTAAAATCACACACACAGTGACAAGACAAAATTTTAACATTTTGGTTTGATCTGATATTGCCTAGCATCTATCGTTCCACAACGGGGGGCTAGAAGATCCATTTGGAAAACTTTTAACTCATACACGCTGATCCCACTTATAGAGAGGAAACCATCCTCCGTGCCACATTGGGACCCACATGAAAATAAATAGTCAGAAGCAGATAAGCTATGACCCCATCCAAAGATGGAGTGGATAAAACGCTGATGAAAATCTTTTCGACAAAACACTATCACTCGTCGTCCCTGTTGTTTCTGCATTTCCCTTTAGTAAGGTCGAAATTTTTCTTTTAGGAAGCCGCCACTAAACTGTCCACAACACTGTTTCAGAAATTGTGGTAATTGCAGTTAAACGGCCCAAAATCAAACCCTCCCGGAAATAGGTTGTTCTAAAACTTAGGTCCCGGAGACAGGCATTCCTGCTTACATGTCACTGGTCATCCAGCCCACCGAATAACTTACAACAAAGCACGGGCATGTAAGTAGTACACAAAGGATGTGCATGGGCTCATCGTCCACGTATTATACTATGCGCTACAAAGAATCACCAATTTTACTTCTGGTAAGACCCTTTAAGATATTTTTAACTATATTCAACGGGGTTCATGTACAAATGGAGTAATTCACCGAAAATAGACCCAGAAGAGTGACCCGAATCAGATATCATGGAAAGTTACACGAGAGCTGGCGTCAGATATTTGACGCTGGATTTTCGTGGAAATTGTTGCCACCATAGGGTGTTGTCCCTTCCTTTCTTACTTTCGAAGAATGAACACCATCCTGATGGCTGATGGCGAAAACACACCGTCAACGGTTAAACTGTAACCCCCAAATACATAAGTTTCTGCAATAACTGAGTATTTTGGTAGCTTTCGAACTATTCAAAATATGTGATCCGGTAAGCTGAACAGATTCAAAAGCAAACCCACGGTTTCATCGTTCTTACTCCATATATGTTGAGCTCTCCTTCATTTCACTGAGGACGGAATCCACTTTGTGTTTTTCTCGGCGAAACTGGTCAGTGAATCTGAGCTCAACTTTAGCACTAAAAATCATGCGTTATTCAATTGAGACTTCAACCTGTAAGTGGAGCCAGTCTGTATTGAACAGCTCTGAAAACTTAAGGTGGAAAATCCTCGGTATCCATTGCGCGGCCGATCAAGAACAAGATGTTTGCACTTTTGAACAGCGATGCAGTAAATCCATCTCAGAGCAATATCGGAGTAAGAACCCCAATGAGATTGACATGGTATCCCATTTAGATCTGATCCAAAACTAGTCCAACATACACTGACAGTCCAGCTAGGAAAACCGCGTGCCAGTAGTGTCACAAATGTCATCAAAGTCAGAAAGGCGCGATCCCATTCTGGATAAAATCTCTTCTGATTAGATCTGCAGTGTCATGGACCGTTCTCTGCGAAATTTCCGCGGGGTTTTAGAATGGACGATGGTATGTGTCATGGATAGTTTGACCAACTTGTTAAGCAAACCCTTCTGAAACTTGACGTCAGCCTGGTCGTTCAGCTACTTCGCCACCGATTCATTGCGCACACGCTGCAGTAATGTAAGCTCTGCTAAGCTAATAGACACTGGTGATCGATTATCTAAAAACAGAATGCTATTCAGAAGTTCTTCTAGTCAAGCTGCACTTCAAGTGCACCTAATTTTCGCGATCACACGGCCTCGAAAGCAGATCCTGGAGAGTTGAGTTGAACAGCCAACGTGGATGTATGTGAAGCAAAGTGGAAGGTGACTTTCAGCTGCTAAGTATTTTTTGTGTGCATTTAGATTTATCCTGTAATTTATTGTAGCTTTCCTCATAAGGTGCTATCACGTTTAGACTACGACTCAATTCATACAATAATTGAAGTGGGGAGGAGTGGAAATTCTGATTAAACTGGTCAAAAATGGCGGATAAGAACAAGCGGAAAACTCACGTGATGTGAACAGAGACTATTTCGGTCAACAATCAATTAGGTTATTTGGCATTGTAGGAACAGTCGAAATCCGTTTAAAAGTATGAATACTCAGAATCGAGTGAATCATATTTACACATAACGAAGTACACGATTTTAGGGCCCAACACATTGGTTTTGAATCCTGCAAATTCAGGCTACCTAAGTAGAATCCACCTCCTTTCTAGATCAGCTTGGTGCTTACTGTAAATGAAGTTCAAAAATGGGTGAGCGACAAAAATCAAAAGTTTAACTGTATTTAGTTGGCAGTCGGAGGAGTATGGAGGGTCGAATGCACAGCAGAACAACCGAAACACAGTTACTTTACTTCAGTGGCTAAAATTCAAGAGAACCATTAATCACAGTTCAAGACCACTGAAAATCCAAGTGATGAGTGAGTGAATAAACCAGTTGAGCCTACGTCAACACTCAAGCAACACAGGGTCTTCTAGGTAGTAAGTCTTGAGTTGGTGTGCAATAAAAACTTTTGTGACCATGGAAACAGTATTCGCGGAAAAAAGAGAGTTTCTGCACGTCACTGGGTGTCTGAAAGGAGGCACAAGAAGTACGCCACGTCCATACAACCCAGTTCATCTGGGCAGTCCGCCAAGCAAGTCGAATATCAATTAGGCTAACGAGCTCACCTAACTGATACTGTAGTGACAACGAGTAATAAAACACGTAAGGATATGCAGGCCTTCTCAGACCATACAAAAAACATAGTACAGGATCCTATATTCACAAATACAAGCTTTTGCCTCTTACGGTGAAGTTCATTTCCCTTGCTGCAAGCTCACATTTCCTGCAGTGAGCTGTTTTCAGTTGCGGCATTAAGAAGTACGCCACGTCCATACAACCCAGTGAGCTGTTTTCAGTTGCGGCATCGATCTCAAGGCCGGTTGTCTACCGTACACTTCAGTTCAGTACAACAAGATCACCTAATCCAACCACTCAGTGGTCATCCATTTTGTGCTCGCTACGCTCAACAACACTGTTCACTTGTACAGTTTTCCTGGCACTACAGCGAGATGACCGGTGGGGTTCACATATGCTGACATTGGCCAAAGTTGCAGCTCGAATGTAAGGTTAGTAACCGAATGCGAATACCCCTTAGCGAAACTGTCGTGTATATTTGGTGACTGTCAGTCAACAATAAGAATTGGCCTCGATCGACAAAGTGCACCTCTCCACAGCACAAAGCAAGTTGGCCTGACCGCTGGATTTCTTCCCATAATTCCCTGCTCCTCTCATTCATGTACCTGGCCGGAAAATTGTGCTCTGCAAGCTGTTCTACGGAACATGATTCGACAACTCTTTTCGGGTCGGTCAGACATGAGTAGTCAAGTGAATTTGCATGCGATCAACTTGCGGT